TCGGTATGAAAGGTATTCACGATTAAGGTGAAAGGAAGCTTCTGCCCTGAGAAATACAGGCTCTGGGCTGCTAATGATCTCCCCTTCAGCATCCGGAGGAGATCGAGGTGCTTTCTGTGTGCGGGAAGGGTAGGTGAGCAGAATGGAGAGAGAGCTGGAATCGGAAAGCCTGGTTGGAGGAGGGCTCTGCACCTCGCTGTGGGAGCTCCGTGGACGCATTCCCGCGGTTTTCTCACCTGTGCAATGGGGCTGCGGAATTGGTAACAAGCCATTTTCAGAACCAATACTTCCACTGTATCAGGGGTGTCCTTTTGAGAAAAAGATCTTTCCCTCTCTTCTATGAAAGGCTAACACTCAGACTTAAAATATCAGTGTATGTGCCAGCCTGAATTCAACACCATAGAGCGCGATTTTTCAAGACGTTTCCTCGGGCTGCTGTCAGCTGGGCTCTCCGATGGCCACCTGTTGCCGCCTTGGGCAACTGCATACACCTTCCTGAGCCTTCCCTTCCTGTCCTCTCGGGGACAAGCAACATCCGTTCGCTCCCCTCCCCTGAAGACTGTGTGAAGAACACAGACGCAAATATGATTGATCCTTTCCTGAATCTGGACTTATTATTTGCCTGATCATATAAAAAATATGTAACACGATGCTCCTTCTCCAAAGACAGTAAACATTGCGAGGCAGCAGACAGGACGGGAAGCCACAACAACACACGCATTCTGCCCATCTCTAACTCGAGGCGGCCTGACCAGAAAGAAAGGCTGCGATTGCTAATAACCTTCACCCAGCACAGAAAACCCTGCCACTGGGAGCACATAGCCAACTTCAAGGCTGCACTCATTTCAAAACGCCATAGGGAACCGAGGCGGGAATGATCCAGGAAAACAAAACAATCCCTCCCCCAGGTTCCTGGAATCCGCCAGAGATGGCCTCGCTGGAGGGGGCTGCGACCTCCTGTGACCCTGCAGGGACTGGAGTCTCCTGCCCAGGGATGGGGGGAGGGCCCCAGGAAAGGCCCTTTTTCTTCCTTTCTCGCCTCCCTTCCCATCCACGGAATGAAGGTGCTGCCGACCACCTGGAATGTTAGCCAACATTTCCTCCAGCAGCTAATGAAATGCGCCCCCCACACGCCCATCTGCGGCCTCTACGGGGCTGGTGAGTGTGGGTTTGGTGGAGTGGGGAGGGTGCGTGTGCGTGTGCGTGTGCATGTGCATGAGTGTGTGTGCGCAAACGCGTGGCGTTTGTATTTGAAATTGATGCTTGCAAAACGTGCTTGCAAAAAGCAGTCATGATTTCTTTTTCTTTTTTTGGTGGGGGTGGTGGTGGCCCTTTTGTCTCCCCCGACCTCAGCCCCAAGGAGGGTCAGAGAGGGGCCAGGGGGAGACTGGACTGGCACTTACCTTGGAGCCGTGGACGAGGTGAGAGCGGTTGGGGAGGGTTTGGTTTGCGCTTTCTGTCCACTGGCCCCGGAGCCATCAGAAGCCCGGGAGGTAGGGCAGGGCCTGAGCAGGCCACGCCCTCGGGACAGAGGGGACCCCAGCAGGTCGCTGCGCCGCCGCGTGCTGCCGGTAGGGGGCGCGCGCACACTCTGCCTGTCCAGGCGCGGCTCCTCCGGGGCGGGCTCACGGGCCCAGGACAGGGAGGGCGGGCAGTCTGCAGACGGGGTGAGCCACTTGGCAGGGTCCCTGAAGCTGGCCAAGCCTGCGCCTGCCCGGACACCTGCTGCGGGAGCCTCCGTCCAGCTCCAGCCTCAGGACCTGGCAGCATCCCTGGCGCCCCGTGTGCTCCGGGGGAGCCATGCCAGGCCAACGGGGCACAGGGGCAGCTGGCTGTGCGCCCCTCCCTGCACCTGATGTCCAGGGGGACAGCAGCGCGGACTGGTAACTTACCCCCATGAGAGTTTGCCCGAGGTCCGCCAGCGAGCACTGCCTGAGGTGTGGGGACCCTCTGCACACGACCTGGCCTTGGCCTAGGGGAGCGGGGGCAGGGGAGACAGGGGGCTCCCCAAGGGGCTCTCCCCCTGAGGGGTTTGCACCTGCGGTTACAGTACTGATGGCCTTGAATCTGTATAAAGTTGCTGCTTAGGACAGTGCCCCCCCAAAACACACACACACACACACACACACACACGCACCCACACAGCGCACACACGCGCACACACACACACACACACATGCTCTGCCCCCTCTACCCCCTCCCTCCACTCTATTAGCATCTGAAAACCTCCGGAAACACGTGCTTCTGGATAAACGTGCACACCCACCAGCCTGCAGAGTGGATCCTGAGTCACAGGCTGCCTGTGAATGAGAGAGCCTGGTTTTTAGCTTCTGAGAACAAGAATGTCTGCTAATCCTGGATTCCACGCATAACAGAACACGCTAAAGTCGCTAGAACCCCGTGCAGACCCTTGAGAAACAACAGTGTCTCAACAGCACGTGGAAGAGCAGGGTGCTTCTCAGGGCCCTTGGGGGCAATCTCCCGCGTTGTGTGTGGGGACAGCGGGACAGCGCCCAGGTCACACGGCACAATCGCTGTCCTGGGCGCTAATGAAAAGCAACTTTGTCGACAGGCATTAGAAAGAAAACAGCTGAGACGGTCTGGCTCATAGACAGCGGAGGGCAGAAGGAGGTTAGCCGTGGTGAGGGAGGGAGACACCGCTGCTTCCTGTAGGGTTCTTTACAAGCCCATGTAAGTCACCATATCAGACCTTCCAAAATACGCAAGAGTCTTCCCATAAGCCTTACGAAGTCATTCCCATCAGCCTGCTCCACTCCCTAATACTGTAGGAAAGTTGATGCAATTTAATTTATATTCCGTCAACAGTAAATTTATTTGATCTTGGCAAGGAGCCTTGTTTGGGAAAGTTAATTGTAGTGAAGGAGGAGGGAACAGCGGGAGCATGGAGGTGAAATTATGTTTCATTTCATAATCAGGAAAAACAGTATAATTGTCCCCCCACCGTATCAGCTGTAGGAAAAATCTGAAAGGGTTTCATTTGAATGCACTTCGTGGCATCTACCAAGAGCACACTGACATGCAGTAGTGAACTGCCCGGGATTATTTCTTTGTTATTAAGAAACCACCATTCCAATTCTGTGACATTTGCTTGGGAGCTTTGCTGGACCGTGTGGAAAGGGATGAAAAAGCTATATTAAACGCATAAAGGTACTTCCTGGTGACCACAAAGTGGATGGGATGGTCTGCCCCACCCAGCAAAATTCTCAAAGGAAATCTGAAATCACCTATCTTTAAAACGCATTCTAAAAAATGAACTAGCCATTATTAAATAAATAGTTTAAACTGTCATGTAAACTAACTTAAAGTGTAAAAGTCAACTCTACTTAAATATTGGGAGCGAGAAAAATATGACTACCATCGATTTCCTGAAGATTTGGCCAAATTCTGCCTGTATTTCCAGCCTGACCTGCAGGGGGCAATAGCTTGACGCGAATGACAACAAAGGCTGCTGCTGATAGGCTTGGGTTTCTGACTGTGACCCTGGAGTGGTGGCAGGTTGGGAAGAGGGCTTAATTAATGTACATTGAAACAAAAGATCAGGTAAATTGTTTGATTTGTCTTCAAGCTATATTTTTAGGCTAATCTAATTCATCGCTGTGAGGGTGTTTTTTTCCCCCTCCTTAAAGAAAGTATCAAAGTTTCAGGAGACATACTCAGCTATCTCAAGAATTATCCTAAACACTGTTTAGTATGAATATAGGGTAATTTATGTTCTCAAAAAGGCAGAATAAAACTGAACTGTTTTCAATGTTCAAAGGGATGACAAAATCAGAGGAAATATAGATTAGATAGCAATAATAAAAGGATGTCACCTATCTAGATAATACACTTTATATTCCTTTTTTAAAAATTTTAAAATTAAAAATGGATGGGGGGGGGCGGTCACCCTATGGTTTGTAAAACATATGCTTCCCACATCTAAAGCATTAATTTTAAAACTGGTTTATATTTAATATTATGATTGACAAATAGGAAGTGATCTTTTTATTTCCGCAATTTTTTAAAAATTACAGGTAGAATAGAATGTATTGCCTATTGATAATCTACCATCCCCACCCCAACTGGTCACCCCCCCCCCCCATATGACCACTCCCTTCTCAATCCCTACATCCCCCCCCCAACCCCCCACCTCATACACCCAATCACCTAATCAGGGAAGACTGGACACAGACCAAAAGGGGTTTTGGCTGGGGGAGTAATTGCCGAAATGAAAAAGCAAACTCCTTCCATCTCCTCACCTCAACCACATTTAACGTTCATTATCTCCATTTTCCATGATGCAGAATGTCTTGCCCAAGAGGCAACCAGATTTCAAGAAGTCAAAAGGGTACCAGGCATTCACAACCCCCGTCCATCATGGTGGGATTCACGGGCTGAGTTTCTGTACGCACATGCTATGGGTCTACTTTGATCACAGTAAGAAAAAAAAAAATAGTTTTTTTTTAAAAAAGAATTTCTGCCCAGGTGCGTTCCGTTTCTTTTGCATGGCAGAGTTTAATCTTGATTTTTTAAAAACCCAACATTTTAAAACACCCCTTTTTCCTACATGATGGTAAAGACAGAGCCCCTGCTTCTGCTTTTCTTTAAGGAGAGAAGGTGGGGATGGCTGAAACCGGGAAAGAGAATTTTATTCTCCCACCCTCCCCTCCCGTTCTCCTAAACCGTTTTAGTCGACATATGTTTGTTATCAGAGCGAGGTGCTGTGAACACACAGCCATTTTCTTAGCAGCTTTCTGACTGTGTGCTCCCATCGTCCCACAAGGCACTGGCCGTCTCCCCTCGGGAAGTCATGAATAAGAGACCAGGAAGCCTGCACGTCAGATCTTCCTCAATTAATCCACCATTAGCATGTTGGGGAGACCCACTCCGGGAGGGTGAGCAGCAGCTCTGGCAACCGCCGCCGACCCTCCCCAATTAGGCTCTGCTAAAAAAAAAAAAAAAAAAAAAAAAAAAAAAAAAAAAAAAAAAAAAAAAAAGAACTCTTTTGCAGAGACCAAGCCTCCCTCCCGGGCTGTCCGCGTTTTCCGTTTTCCTATTTTAACGTTTGGGGAGAGTGGCAGGCGACAGATGGTGGAGATCAGATCGATGTGATTGCATTAGATGACCCCCTCCCCTTCCCCACGCCGTTCTGGAAGCTCCATCCGCGGAAGGCGATCGCCGGGGACTCCACCGTGGACCCAGCCGCACGAGGACCAGGTCCCCTCCCAGGGCTTGTGAACGCCGGACCGGCGCGCTCCGGAGGCAAGCGGCTCCCAGCGCCCCGCCTGCCTCGCCACCCAGCTCATCGCGGACCCTCCGGCTCCTGCACACCATCCCGGTCCCGCTGGAAACCGGGATGTAGAGGGTAAGCGCTTCCATTCGAGGCGATTGGGGACCGTTACTTGGCTAGACCGCAAGCCCAGGCTCAGCGAAGGTGTGGGGTGTGGGATGGGTCGGAGCGGCGGGCTGTGTTTACATGGATAAACGTGTTTCTTTTTGTCTGCGAGAGAGCTTTAGTCAGGGGCGATGTGTATAGTGTTTTTCCATTGATTGTACGAGGCGACTGCCACCCGACCCCCCCCTTCCCCCCTCTCCCCTGCGTTTCCCCCCTTTCTACTGGAGAGGGAGGACGGGGGAGAGGGAGGGAGGGAGGGAGGGGGAGGCGGGGGGAGAGAGCAGCATTTCTGCATTCGCTTAATTGGCTTAGTTCCTCACACACGATGGCTTTGGTCGCGTTTCTTTATGTTATAATGTGGTCGCAAATGACCAAGCGTGAGACTGGGATGGGGTTTCGGAGTGCGGGGGACAGGGAGGGTGGGACAGGAGGGGGACTGCTTGGCAGTCCCTCGCGGTGGCCTCCAGAGATCAAAAGATGCTGGGAGCCCCCTCCCCCCACATACCCCCTCTGCCCGAAAAACACCCCTCGAGGGATGGGGCGCCAGAGAAACGTGGGTTCTCAAAAACAGAGCTCGCAGGAGTCGATGCACAAAGGTACTTGGTGCGGACCTAGCCTCCCTCCGTGGATACCGCTCCGCCGCCGCAGGCTCCAGCTCAGGGTGCACCAGCCAAGTGTAAGTTCATCAGCAAATGCCCTGCTGCTGGCTGCGAGGGCTGCGTCCCCGTTCTGTTTTTGTGTGGAGGGTGGAGAGAGGGCAGGGTGGGGGGGTAGGTGGGCGAGGAGGGGGCGCCCGGGGGCTTAAGGAGGTTTGCTTTGAATCTGCACCCAGCGGCGATGTCTGGGAGGAAATGGTGCTCTCTGCTCGGAAGTCGGGCTGCCCCGCCGGAGCCGGCGCCGGAGAGCGGCCGCGGAGAGCGGGGCTGAGCTGAGTGCAGCCGCAGCCGCAGCCCGGGCTGAGCTGTCCACCGGCGCAGGTGCTGAAGCGGGGGCAACACGGGGTAGGTGGGCGAGGGCTGGCCTGGCCACTTGGAGGGAAAGCCAGCATGCCTCCCGCGCTGTTGTTCCAGTTTCTGACCGCGTGAGTCTGTGGGTCAGCGTGTGTGTGTGTGTGTGTGTGTGTGTGTGTGTGTGTGTGTGTGTGTGTGCGTGTTTTATTTCAATGGCGAGGAAGCCAAACTAAAGGAGATTTTCCTCAGAAAGCCTTGAAAAGCGGTGTGGGTATTTGTGCTGTGATTCGGGGATGCCATGTATTGTGTATGCATGCGTGTGTGTCTATGGCTTGATACCATCCTTTTTTCGTACAAAAGGAATATTCCATTTGCCAAACCAACAGCTGCCTGGATAATGTTCTTTCTTGTTTTCCTTTTAATGTGAGTTGAGATTTAAATGGAGGAGTTCGGAGCAAATGGACACTTTGCTCACAGACTATTGCCTTACTTTCCCTCAGGGCTTTTGTTTCTAGGAGTTCAAGCTGGAGAGAACCTGTCAGCTTTCCGTGTGTGTGTGTGTGTGTGTGTGTGTGTGTGTGTGTGGCATGCCTAGGGAGACGCCCCCCTTTATAGCTATGTTAGGTAACAGGACTCGTTAATTTGTTTAATTGGCATCGGTCTTCTCGTGAAAGGTGTACTTAAGAGTCACCTGAAAATATTGCAAAATAGGCTCCTAATGGGGCAGTACTGCTTTTCTTTTGAGTTCTCTTGGGCAGCAGACCTTGAATGTGAAGCAACTAGTCGTAAGAACCTAGGATTCATGTTGACTTTACTGTCTGCAAGTAACAGGTCGGGGACATGCGGAGCTGGTGTGCCTGGAGAAAGGATATATTAAAACATGATGATAAGAGCCAGCCCAGCCTAAGTGCCCTAAATTGCAACCAGGTCAGTTAGCGATGAGTTGTGGTGGGGGGAGAATGCTGTTATGTAATTACTCCTTGATGAAGAGCTGTTTGCACTTACATAATTTGAGGAATCATAATGTCTATGGCCATGCTGCCATGTCCCCTCCCTGTTCCGCTCACACGGATGCACGTCCGTGTCCTGGGGAGTATGGCGGAAAGCGAATTGAGAACTTTTTAATGGAGCTGAGCCCTGTCTTGGGTAGTGACGTTGCGCCTGCCCATTTTGTGTAATGAACAATAAACCCCTATTATCAGAATACTCATGCCGGGTCCAAGACAAAGCTTTTCCACTAAGAACCATATTGACCCTCAAAGAATCACAGAGCTCCTCTCTCAGAAAGCCAGCGTTACAGTCACCGTGCAAATGAGTGGTCATTGTTTATCTTTCTTACCACGATCTTTATGAAGACAGAGAGCCCAGGGTGTTTCTGTCCAGGTGTTCACAGAGATGCATCCGTCCTGTCTATGTAGAAGGTGGGTTAGGGAAGTACACTTACATCATGGGACTACAGAAACAGCGCCTAAATCATAAAGACTCCACCAGCTTGTCAAACTCAGGGAGTTGTGCTACTATGGAAAATGAGTTTTATTGTGTGCTCAAAGCTGTTTTTCCCTCTAAAAATCATGGTGTTGCGTAGCTCCAAGGCCTTCCAAGGAGAGATGACTGTTTGGGTGGATCTATCAGTATTTGATTCAAGTAGTAAATGGAGCCAGCGTTTATTTTCTGTGATCATGCATTTCCCCAAAACACCCGGCTGGAATGTCACCGATGCGTGACCCTGTCTTTATCGGAGCTGCACTCCTCCTTCAAGCCGGCTAGGCAAATACATCTGTGATGTGTGTGTGTGCTTAACTATGCCTGTCTCCTACAGGGCTCCTCGCTGCCAGGACTCCCCATCTAAGCACCTGAGTGGGCTGGCCGAGTCGGAGGGGTGCCCAGCAGAGCGAGGGCAGAGGAAGGCTCTGGGGGGGCAGCAGGTAAGCGAAAGGTTACTCGTCACACCCATCCTGCGCCCCAGAGCCATCCCACTCCCCACACCCCCTCGCCTGGCTGGGCAGACCCCGCACGCACGCTCCGCTCCTCCCGCGTTAAGTGCTTGGCTTGTGATTTGTCTTTCAGAATTGGAAGGAGAGCAGCCATTCGGCTGTGGGCAGGAAGCAGCCGCACAGAGCGCAGCTTTGGATCCTTCTGGAGGGAAATCGAGTTATGGATTATGGTCCGGGTCAAGCTCAGCCCAGCCCAGCCCAGCCCAGCCAGGGGCGGGCTCAGCGGCAGCCAGAGTTGTGGCAGCAGCGGAGGCGGAGGCAGCGGCAGCGGCAGAGGCAGCGGCAGCGGCCCGGCTCTCTTCGGTGACGGGTATTCTTGGGTGGATAATACGGATTACGTTGTTATTGCTTAAGAATACGCGTAGTCGAGGAGAGTACCAGCGGCAGGCGGCAGCGGCCGCCCCTCCCGGCCCACCAGCGGGCCTCCGAACGCCGGTGGTTGCCAAGGTAGCACTTTTGGATCTTTGCCTTTTGCTGGGTGTTTCCACTCTGGGTCGCGCGCGTGTTAGGCGATTACAAGTCGCGTCTCACCAGAAAGGCTCTGTGCGCCGCGCTTCGGGGGCGCCGGCTATGCAACGGGTGCACGCGGGGGCGGGGGTCCCGTGGCGGGGCCGGTCGGGGAGCCAGCAGGGGTGGGGGTGGGGGTGTCGGAGCCCCCTGCCTGCCAGGGTCCTCTCTGGGGCATTTAGCGGTGCCGGGAGAGGCACGCTCACCGGCGGGCGAGCGCCTGGAATTGGGGATGTTGGCAAGGCTGTGAGCGCTTGGGCAGCATTGCAAGTCAGGAGCTGGAGCTCCATGGAGGGTCTCTGGAGGGAGGGGGGGGTTGGGAGAGGGGGGCCCCGCCTCCGCAGAAAGGGCGTGTCCGTGGGTAAAGGGGCCCCTGCGGCGGAGGAGCGCGTGACTTCTGGAATCGCAGCGAGCCGGTGGCGCTCACAGCCCGACTTGGCTGCTGGCGGGGGCCGGGGCGGGGGCGGGGGCGGGGCGGGGGCCGGGGTCCCCACAGAGGCTCCAGATTGGAAGGGTGGTTCTCCCAGGAACCCAGACTTTCTTTGCGGATCCTTCGCGAAGGGGTGGAGAAGCAGGCCGGGCACCAGATCAGTTGCGGTGTGGCCCGGGACTGGAACCTTCCTGACAGGGGCTGGGGCCCGGCGGGGGCTGCTCCGTCTTCCAGTTTCTGTGGGACAGGTCCCCGCGCTGCAGTGTTCCCTGCCTGCGCCCCGGGGATGAGCCTCCTACATCAGCACAGGGGCGAGAGGAAGAGGGAGCCGTCTCTCCTTCCACTTTCAGCTGTGGTTTGTTTGTTTCCAATGCCGACGGACGCCCAAACCAAATGGATTTGTCCCTTCTTAGCTGAGAGCAAGGAACCATCCACGCAGCCCCTCCAGCGCACCCAGGCGGTGCCGGGGACTAGCGGGCGTGGCCGGAGGGGAGCCGCTCGGGATGGAGCTGGAGAGGGGACCCGCCCTGGCAGGCACCGCGTGCGCGCACCCAGGAGGCTCCAGCTCTCAGGCTTGGAGGGCAGCGAACCCCCAGTCTGGCTACTCGCCTTTCCTCTTCCCAGTGGAGGTGGCTGAGGAGAAAGGAGGGAGGAGAAAGGGCTGGGGACGAGAAGGCGCTCCCAGGTTCCAGGAGGCTCGGCCAGCACCTCCTGGGACACCACATCGCCTGCCTTCCCTGCCTCATGGCTGCTGGTTGCGAAAGGGCTGGGAAGGCAATTCCTCAGAAGTCCAAGCTGCACGGGAAAAGGAGAAGCCCGGTGCCTCCTTTGAGGCGCTCCCGGACCAGCTGAGCTGAGCTAAGCCCCAAACATGGTTTCCTTTTGGAGAACGGGGCCTTTCTCGGCGGGGTGCCTGGACCCCACTGGGTTCTGGTCCCTAAGGGCAGCTCTCGCCCTGGAAATACCGTGAGCCCGTGAGCCCAAGGAAGCAGGCACCTGGCCCAGCCTTCCCGGTTAGATAGAGTCTTGTCTTCAGTAGCTTGGATTCCCAGTGAGGAGTCCAACCCTCCCTGGCCCTATATCCATCCACCGCACCGCGTCGGATCCCACCGACTCAGGGTATCTACACGGACAGCTTGTGTGCTCCGTGTGCTCCAGAAGGGGCCCCGCGCCTTCCCGAGCACACGGAGCACACAAGCTGTCCGTGTACTCGGGAAGGCGCGGGGCCCCTTCTGGACACGCCTAGGGCGAGTCCATTTCAGAATCAGTTCAAGTAGGGGAAAGAACACGTGTGATCTTCGCACTGGGCGTTCCGCCTCTAGCGAGACTATGTAACTGTTGTTCTTGCCCTCACTGTTCCTTCCACGAATGGCTTTCTCTTTCTCTAGGGACCCACTGGCCCGTGATGGAGGGCTTTTAAATATCGCACTTGTTCCTATTTGACAACATTCAGTGTATCAACTGGTGGCATTGTTTTATTGGGAAATGTAAAAAACAGAGAGAAGCTACATGATCTGGTAACAAGGTGATGACTTGACAGTCAGTCTCAAGTTGGTTGGTTGGTTAAGTAAGTGGGTAAGATGCAGATGGCAGAGAGCTGAGCTGGGGGCCTGGGGTGGAGCTTATGAGAAATGAAGGGTGTCAGTTCCAGCCTTTGTTGAGAGAATAAGGAAGAACTGTTTTAAAAAGGCAAAGGCTGTTTCACACTGTTCTCTGCTTCTGACTGCAATTGCTTCCTCAATTAATACTGTTAATATTCAGAGGCTGACTTGGGGAGGCCAGGGATGAAATCTCATGGTCGCCAAAACGTGGATTCCATGGTTCAAGTGGTTCAAAGACTGAATGCATTGCTCTTTCCTTTGTAGAATTATTTTCTTATGAAAGTTTTCATTAAGTGTCAGTCTGACTTGAGTTGGTTCCTATTTAAATTTGAAAAGGAAAAAAAAATAGTTTTTACCACACTGGGCCTATCTAGATAAGAAAAGGGGGTTAAAAAAAAAAGCCATAAACAACCACCCTTAAAGTTTATTAGATAGAAACAACTGTGGTTGATTGTTGTCAGGCAGCCTTTCCCCCTCGGAAAATAGGATTTTTAAATTACATCCCCATCACCATGACCCATTTTGCCTGTCCACACTCACAGACACCACTGAAGAAGGAATGACTGTGCGCTCTTCCCGTGAGATCCTGTGACTTTAAGTACTCATCACCAAGGGACTGGCTTCCAGTCGATGTACAAATACCAGCACAGTATGCATCCCTTTTCTAAAATTTGGTTTGCGCCATAAAGTTGATGGAATTTCTTACTTGAGAAAAGCATATGGATTCAGCATAGACCATTCATTTGACAGTCTTAACGCATGATGGCGGGGACTGGAGACCATATCTCAAAATTGCTTTTGTTTGCCACGTTTACCTCCGCGAAGTCTGCCGAAGTCCTTGCATTGTTATGAGCACACTTTCCGGCCTAAGTGGAAGGTTTTAGATTTCCCACGGAAGTTCATATAATGTCTGTGAGTGCGCGGATTTATCCTGACACATCCACTATTAGGTGTAAGAAACCATCTTGGTTGACAGTTGACGGCCGAGTCTCAGGTAAGGAGCTTGATGGAAACGGTGTCTTGAAAGAACTGGCTGGCTCTGTTGTGTGTGGGTCTGAGTCGTGTCTGATAGTTTTGCTTGGAAGAGAACTGCAGGGAGTGGTGGTATTCGGGTTAAGGATCCATGGAGCATCCTGACAACCTCTACTGTGAATACAGACATTTCCAAGTGAGTAATCATGTCCTGGCCAGGATGTCTCCCCAGGTGCACTGTGAGCCCTGGAAGGGTGTGGTCCTTGGTGTCACTGCCCTGGAAGGGTGTGGTCCTTGGTGTCACTGCCCTGGAAGGGTGTGGTCCTTGGGTCACTGCCCTGGAAGGGTGTGGTCCTTGGTGTCACTGCCCTGGAAGGGTGTGGTCCTTGGGTCACTGCCCTGGAAGGGTGTGGTCCTTGGTGTCACTGCCCTGGAAGGGTGTGGTCCTTGGGTCACTGCCCTGGAAGGGTGTGGTCCTTGGTGTCACTGCCCTGGAATGGTGTGGTTCTTGGTGTCACCACATGTCAATCTAGAACCAGAACAGACTGTCAGTGACTGTCCAGGCAAAAGGGAGCAATGATGAAGTAGTATTTTGATGGATGGAAAATTCCAAGACCCATAATATCATTTCTTTCTTATTATGTTCCACCTCAGTAATGGTAAATTTTCAAGTACAAACATAGACATGTTCCTCTGTGTAGGCGGAAGCATGGGCACATTGGGGAATGCTCTGTGTGCTTACAGAGGACAGACAGGAGTGAGAACACAGAAGAGTTGCAGGCCACGGTGATTATTCACCCGCTTTTCAATAATGTGGTTTCAGCTGCTGTTGCATCTCCGAGAAGACAAATGACGCTCTTGCTCTCACAACGCCAGAGCGGTGTCAGCCGCACACTGACTGCACTCACTATTTGAAAGAAAATTTATTTTTCTGGTCAGTATTTTAATTAAAAGAGAAAACATAAAAGTGGCAATACTTAAGGGCTTTATTTTTATTGTATTTAGCTATTTCCTTCAGTTATTGGTTGCTACAAACACCTATAACCATAAATGTTAAATAGGTTTGAAACAAAGAGTTTGGTAGTTCAATTTTTAAAAATCTTTTGAGATTTTACTCCTACCTACTGCACTTTAAATCATGACTTATAACTCTTAAATTTCAACCTACAAAACATTTTGCACGAGTATTTATTACAAGCTTTTTACATGGAGAAAATATTTTAATTCATCCAAAAACACTATGAACTAAAAAAGGGCCATTATGAAATTTCAAATTTTTCCAAATATTCTTACTTGGGTTTTGTTGAGTGCAGTCTGACAACAGAGCCAGTGTATTGCTAATATTTGTATTATTTACACAACAAATAAGTGACTACCTAAATTTTTTGAGGTCTGAGTTCTGTTATATGTGGTTAATAATGAGAGCTAAGTAAGACAATCTGATCTTCAAAATCGATGAAAATTATTATACTATCTATACACCTGTATAGACAACACTTTGCATTTGCTGTGTTAGTGGAAATGCCCTTTGAGACTCACTAATAACCCACGGTATCTGAAAATGTATACACATGCCACCTAGAACCAAAGTTTTAAAAAATACTAAGAATAAACTAGGAACTTTAAAACATTCAAAGGATTTTAAATAAAGCTTATTACATTTAATTTATTACTACATATAGATATGAAATCAATACTGAATCTCAATGAAATTTCAAACTAAAGAACACTTATATTGCTATAATCTATTTATAAATACTAAGTGTATTAATGTCATAATGCACTTTTTGAAAAAAGTTGATAGATTATATCACTGTAGTGGCCAAATTGCATAATTTGAAAGTAGTATCTATTTTTAAACTTAAATAAAATGTGTGCTAAGAGACACAGTTTCTAAAGACATTCTTTTTATAAATAATGATATAATTTAATTGGAA